CACACAAAAAATAAACGTCCGGATTTAAAATCGCAATACCCCTAACCCCACCCCTAAGGGATTAAGGACGGGAATGCCCAAAGTAGAGGTGTAAACACGCAGAAAGCAAACTGCTTTGGCACCGTGGAGTAGTGATTTAGTTTTATTGAAGGATAAGGATCGTGGTGTGGTGTTTTACTAAATACGCCGCAGGGCTGAGCAACTTTTTTTGAACTTCTTTCCCATCTCTTCAAGCCTAAAAGTACTTAATAGTGATACTTTCTGGACAAATGCAATGTACTGAAACACACATACACATGGGAGGAGCATGTCAAAAAGAGGGAACTAAAACTATGACAGGGTGTATTTATCTTCCAGGTGACAAGTGGAGCTCATACACGACAGCCAGCCACAGCCTCGCAGGGAATTACRAGTTGAAACAATCTAAAGTAGCAAGGCACTTCAGCAGGTGTCTGTGACAGAAAGGTGTAAAGCAAAGAGGGGTGGCACTGCCGTAACAAGGAATGACTGCCARCTATTTCAATCCTCTAGAAACAGTCTGGAAGACTTCAGAGTCACGGAGCTTGCCTCGGAGGGGGAAATGTCTCGTGATTGGGTTTAAAAGTGAAGAACTTTCGCCTCCAGGGTGGTGGTGACAATGACACCCGTCTGTCTGCAGCAAAGATGATTTTGGGGAGATCATCTCACCCGGACCGGGCCAAGGCCACACGGGTCACCTGTGGTGCCGTAACTGGCCCGAGTGYGGGGTTGGAGGAACAAAACCAGGGCTGGAAAGGGGCACTCGCCTCCTCAGCAGAGCGCTTCAAACGCTGGAGGATGCCAGCGGCTGGTGATGACTCGTGGCAAGYGGGAACAGAGCTGAAGCTGGGAGGTAGGCAGGGGAGGAAAAAAAAAGTTGTCGTTTAGCCTGAGCCCGGGAAGGGGGAAGGATCCCCGGCCGCAGTTGCCAAGGAGATGGGCAGTGTCCGCCGGCCTGTCCGCCCTCACAGCCGCGGCGTGGGGGTGTCCGTCCGCCCGGCCCCTGGCAGCGTCCGCAGAGCAGGCCCCAGCCGCGGGGGGGCGCACTCCGGCGGGGCGGCAGCGCTGAGGGGGCGATGCTGAGGGTGGCGCGGTCCCTGCGGGGTCCCTGCCGGCCCTACCTGGCGGGGCGGAGCGGCACCGCGCCGGGCCCAGAGCACCGGGCCAGAGCACCGCGCCGGGCAGCGCCACACGCCCCGCCGGCAGGCACCGCCCGAGGCAGCGACTGGCTCCCCGCCGCGCGGCACCGCCCCCGCCGCGGGAGCCCCGGCGAATCAGCGGGGCGCTGTCAAGGCGTCAGCGCCGGCGGCTCCTCGCGGCCGGCCCCGAGCGCGTCCCTTATCGCAGACAGGCACCGGGGATCGCATCATTATCATGGGCACTGTTTGCTTTTCGCGGCGCTGCTGTTTGCTTTTCGCTCTCGCCTGGGCCGGCAGGTTGGCGGGAGGCAGCGGGGGCGCAGGTAAGAAGAGGGGGCTCCGCCGCCGTGCCGCCTTCTCCAGGCGCGGGCGGCGCGGAGCCGCGGCCCCGGGGGGACTGTGTCTGTTCGGTCTCTTCTCCCCGCTGTAAGGTGTTGAGGGGGAGCTCACTTGTCGCTGCTCATAGCGCCGAGGGKGTTGGAAGTTGCGGTGGGGAGGTGTTTTCTCGCGTGTATGACACAGCCGGAGCCGAGGGATTTCTTCAGGGAGAGATGGGGAAGAAAAAGTTACTTTCYTTAAGTGCCTACGAGATAAGCCTGTGCTGAGCCCTGGAGACTCCGCAGAGCAAGCGTTGGCTGGGATATCGTCACAGGGTTTCCTTGTCTGCGCATTAACCCAAAGACCTGGTGTTTTTAACAGCGGCGCTCCTATCTGTTTAATAGCTGTAATGATACTAAGCCTTTGCTTCGGTGTTTAAAAAAAAAAAAAAAAAAAAAAAAAAAAAAAAAAAAAAAAAAAAAAGAACAAAAAATCAAACATCCCCCAACCCTATCTGCTTTGGAATGCTGCAAGCCCAAAGTGATTTTTGAAAGAAATGTATGCAGTCTCTGAAGTTGTGCTAGGAGAAATCCTTTAAGGTGAAGTACGAGCGGGGGCAGATGGGGGGGAGGGGGAGGGTGTGGAAAAAAATCCCTGTTCCTCGGATAGAGGAGTTTAAATGTGACAAAGTGAACGAAGTCAGCGCAGAAGTTCTTAAAGTCCGAGTAATGCAGTGTGAGATGTGGAGCCGAGCAGGGGCTCATACTTGGTTTTGCCCTTTCATTTGACTCATTGGCATTCACGCCTGACTCCCAGGCATCCTCTGGTTGCTGTGAAATGTCCCCTTTGGCTCARTGCAGTTTGAATTTTTGACGGCATTATAAAGACTCCAGCTGTCACTTTTGCTGATCTTGATGGGAGATGGGTGCCGGTTTAATGACTCAAAAGTATGAACCAAAGCATTAAAAAAAACCAACACCCCAAGAAACTTCTTTTCTCTTTGTGCTTGACTGTATCTATGCCTGATCTGGGCAACACCTAAGCTAATTCACGTAAATTATAGCTAGATYTGAACTGGCTCGGTAAAATCAACGAGTGGACAAGAAAGAAGGCAGCAAATTACAGCAGCCCTGCCTTTCTCCAGAAAATTATGACGCTCGGAGTTCTGATCCCCTCTTTAAAAACAAACAAACAAACAAAAAAAAACCAACCACCAAACCTGAAAACAGAACAAACAAACAAAAAAAACATCCCACCAAAACAAAATCCCCACAACAACAATACAGAGTCCAGGCAATTCTCTTGCTGGGATTCCAGAGGTGCCCCAGGGGGCCGCCCTGATCTGCACCTCTCAGAGAAGTTCTCTGCTGTGTGCCGTGCTACGTCTGCTTATTCTCCCCTCTCCAAATAGCCCCCTCCTGTTCCCGGTGACTTTGAAGGATCCGTGTGTTATCACTGGATATGGCTGAGTGAGCACTTCTGAAATAATTAGCGTTAGGATTTCAAGCTAACAATAAAACTGTTTTTACTTTAGTGCACCTTTCAGAGGATCTGTTAATCTAATTGGCATGAAACCAACTGCACATGCCTCTCGCTGGATGCCCGTCTTCCTCTCCCTCCCTCTCTCGGCAGCATCCCTGTCTCCTCGGTACTTCCTGATCATARAGGGGAGGCTGTGCTCTGTGCCGCTCTGCGGGTCCCTCTCCGGTTGCTCACCCGCCCATCGGGCACCGCGSTCTCCTGCCCGTGTCTTCCCGGGAGCCCCAGGTGTGGCTCTGGGATGAAGCCGGGAGGAAACCCCTGGGMGATGCTCGGCCCGGCTGTGGTGTCCCCGGGGTGCGGTGGCATCACAGCCCCTTGCATAGGATGCTGCGGGTACCAGAGGGGCCGGGGACCGTCTGCGGGCAGTGCGGGAGGGCGGGGCAGGTTAGGCAGGGCGTTAASTGTTCCCATGTTCCCAGCACACCCCATCCCTGAATAGGTCGGAGTTGCGGGGTTTTTTCCCCCAATACTCCATTAATATTCCTGAGACCACCAAATCTCGACTCTCATTTTCCTCATTCCCACCCTCTTTAAATCCGAAGGAGAAAGCGAATGCCTGTCATTGAAATGTAAAAGCTTCCTGCTCTTAAAACAAGAAAAGCCATCTGGGTCCCCCCTTTCAGACTCAGACTCATCAGTAAGGCACCCACCCGAGCAGGGGCTGGAAGACTGCTGGGACTATTTTCCTCCTAAAATGAGTTTTAGTCCAAGTAGATGATGTTATTGCAGGTTGCTTTTCTCCACACTACCTTACTGAATTTCATATGGTCTTCCATTTATTTATTTTTTTGCCTCTTAGTAAAAAGTATTACTGTGGTTTTGCTGTTCAAATATTTCTTTTTCCTATTCCCCCACCAGCATAGTTTATTTAAACTAGGGTCTGTCTTTATAAATTAAGAAAATCTGTGTGCTRGAACATGCAAATGGTCTTCCTCTCTCCTCTTATAAGTAATTTAAACGTTCACTTGTTTTATTGAGATGTGGGTCTCCAGCACAAAGACTTATCCAGCAGAAGCTCATTTCTAGTGTCTTTCATTTATCATGTAGAAATGTGAGACCCAGTCCCTCTAGCTCCATGGAGCAATGGTTATAAGTGACTTGAGGAGAATATCTCGTTGGCTGGTTTAGTTGTTTAACTAAACAACAGTTTAGTTGTTAAACTAAACTGTTTAACTAAACTAAAATGATGGTCTCATTTCTAGGATGGCACTGGGAAGGCAGGCAAGCAAACTGCTTCAAGGGGAGTATCTTGGTGTTTTGTGTCTCTGATCTCTCTTTTTATCTGTCCCCTTGGGGTTCCTTCTGTGCTTCCAGATGTTGACGAGTGCGCAGAAGCTACGGATGACTGTCACATCGATGCAATTTGTCAAAACACACCGAAATCCTACAAATGCATCTGCAAGCCGGGCTACAAAGGGGAAGGGAAGCAGTGTGAAGGTAAGGAGAAATCGGCTCCTCTCCTGTCTCTTCTCCTCTCTCTTCTCTTAATTTGTTTGCTCTTTAAAAGCTTTTGTAAATAGCTGAATTCCTGAAACGATTAATGCAGATTTACAGCTGCTTAACCTCAAATCTGGGTGTTTATTGGCAAGCATCCCCCTGCTGCTTTTGCTAATTGTCTGGCCTGCCAGCCTACTTTTAAGAATAAAATTATAAAGGGGGTGTGAGGGGGCGGCGTTCCCCAGCGAGGCGATTCCCCGGCAGCACCAGCTCATCCCGAGCAGTGCTGGGCTCCAAGTGCAGCACTGAGCTCATGGGTGTGACCCGGGATGGGATGGGATGGGATGGGATGGGATGGGATGGGATGGGATGGGATGGGATGGGCCAGGCCCCTGGCTTACTCCTTGGCGAGGGCAGATGGAAAGGACCAGCCATTGTTCTCTCTGGACAATTTACAGGTGTTTTTCAGTTCCTACTCAAACAGGTTACTGGAGTTTGCTTCTCTTTGACACTCTGCGCATGTCATGATCATAATATTTCTAGTCAATGGAACACTTGTTTTAAATGGAAGCATTTACAATTATTTGTCTTATACAGACTTAAAAAAAGTTGCTTTACTTTTCTGTGTCCTCACATCAGTCTTCTAATTAAAAAATACCTTTGCTAGGCCCTATGTAACTCAGGTTTCTGATTTTATGCACTCCATTTTGTCTATTGAATCTGAACAGAAAGGTTCTCTGGTGAAAAGAACAAATATTGTAATCTCAGCAGAATGTCTCAAAAATAAAAGATGCAAGATTATTATTTTTTTTCCTACTTGTAAATGCTTACTAGGTRCAACATTTTGCCTCAAAGTCTCTCTGTCTCTCCAGTAGAATGCAATTTTAAAAAAAAAATATATATAGCCAGTCCATTAAAAAGATKGAAGACCTAGAAATTACTTTGCTGTTCTATAAAACTTGGAAACCGCTTATTATTCTCCATGGACTTCCAAAATATTTGTTCAAGTTCCCTCATAAAGCATTTTTGTGGTTGTCATATTTTTCGGTTGTGGGCTTAAATTGACAGAGACTTAATTAATAAATTCTGATGGTCTACCTTTTGGTGCTCTAGCATCTCTGAGCTGTTCTTTTGGAAGCCAGATTTTCTTTCTTGCCAACAGGATAGTCATTCAGCATCAGTTCTTTCTCTATTCATCCATTCCAAGGAAAGAGCTACAGAAGTCTGAGAAAATGTAGTTAAGGCCACAGCTGTAGAGATTGCAGCATTCTCGTCATTGGCACTTCTTGTACTGGTTTTCTACACTAAAGTTTCCCTAARCTTTAGCTATTCATATTTTAGTTATTGAGCTCTTTTTAGTGGTACACATAGTTTATACTATGCTTATCTAATACACATATATCTCTTTGCTTGACTCCCCTTGGCTCAGTAAAAAAAAGAAAAAATAAACACCAAACTCACTAAGTAGTAAAATCCAAGATTCATCTTTGTAACGATGTATAGAATAATGGAACATCTGTGTCTGATATCAAACTCATATCTAATAGAATTTAGTGTGTGACAAGCTTAATAAGTAAAGTAAACTGGGGCAGACTGCAACACGTTCTGCATGGATGTTCAGCATTAGTCAGGTAATGTAAGCTGTCTAAGCAATTACTGTGAATGATATTTAATTTTTTTTTCTACAATAGTATGGTAACTGTTCTAAAGATTTTGCATCAGCTCCATGTMTTAAGTTGGTAATTAATACCAAACTTTGGAATAAGCAGAAAGCTTGAAATGTTTTTGACTGCTTTCTGCCTGAAGTATATTGTAAATTATGTAGTATCCCTTAATTGGACCCCAAAGTCCTTTGAAACATTGTAACTGAAGTTGTACTTCTGTGTCAGGCAGATATCATTACGTCCTTTCYATAAGTGAGTAAGCTCAGAATTAGAAGGAAGGGTCATACAAGTCAGTGGTAGGGCTAAGATCTGCCTCACTTCTGCTGTACATGGAGAGTGGGTTTATTTTGCATCTTGAGGTGAAGTATTCAAAAKCTACAGAAATAAACAAAGTAGCTTAATTGATTGGTATTTAGTATTCTGTCACAAGACAACCTCAGTGATTAGCTGTTAAAAGTTATTTTGTTAACAAAGATGATATCTACTGGATAGTTTTTATTGTGCCAAGAACAAAACTGTGTCAYTAAATTATTCCAGGTATTTATAACTGGGCTTTTCAAAATAAACCTTTTGATCACTGAAAGTAGTTACCTATGAGAAAAAGATTTGTGGAGGTAGTGTGCCTCTTTGGCTAAGTTTGTARCAATCTACCTGTGTTGCTTCATGTCTGAAGAACATTTCCAAATAGCATAACTAAATCCCTTGTAGTTCAGGCTCTRTCGTACAATCAGATTTTACTAAACAAGTAGAATTGTCATTCATACAGTAACAGTAAGCTTAAAGACATTATAGTATCAAATTCATTTGGATAAATTTTAGTCAGTGTCAGTTTAGATTGTATTGAGGTATTGTGATTAATTTAGAAACAGCAGTCTTAAATACTGCTTTTGTTCACTTAAAATCCATTTTAGAGCAAAGGATTAAGTATGGGAAATAACATTTTTGGATGATTCTTAGGAGCACGTATTTGTCCAAACATATCCATTATATCAATATGTATTTGTGTACTCCTGTGTATTTATTTATAGTGTTTGTAAACAATGGGATCTTTATGCCAATGCACTAAAATGTGRAGCCCAGCCACTTGTTCAGAATTTTGCTCATCATTTGCTGCTTTGAGTRAAAGGGCAGGGAGAAATACGTATGTCAAAAATATTTCTTTAAAAAAGTGGAGAGCTCTAGCTGCAATTCTATGGATATGAAACATTTTCTTGACAGTCTGTTAAATATCTTCAGCAAGGAATTCCTTTCTGAACTTTAATTTTCTCCCAAAATGTCTTTTGGCCTGGGTTTCTCCAGAGTTTCTTAGAATTGAGGATGAGTTCTCAGTTCACAGATCTACCTTACTTTTTTTCTTCCCTTTTTTTTCTGGCTAGCTTTCTTGCTTGAACCATCTGACCTATCTCTTTCCAGAGAGCACAGTTATTTCCGCAGACAGYGAAATTCCTCATTATTCTGTGCGCTGTGTTCTGCTTCCCTCTGTAGGTTTCAGTTGACCTTTTTCTTTMTTCCATCAGCTCTGTGCTATGTTTTGTAAAGCCTTATCGTCAGCATTGTCATGCTATTTTCCTGTATCACATAATGAATCAATATCCTTTGAACACAAATTCTCAAGCTGGCATTTTTATATGACAGAATAATATGTCCAACCTAGGTAATCTTTAAAAAATAAGTGCTTTCAATTCTCCATTTCTGTCAGTATACAAAATCCATTAATTGATAATTAATTAATTTACTTGCCCTGGCACACCTGCAGTTACCTAAGAAGCCTTCCATGTTGTGATTTTAATCAGGATCTCAAATTCAGCATGCTRCATTTGGCTACAGGCATGATCTTTTATGCTCCATATGTCTTTGTCCTCAGCTTCTCAACATTAAATTTTGGCTTTCTCAMAGGCTGGTATCTCAACAAAATTGTGTCAAAGCAATGGAAATTTCAGAAGGTTCAATTCCACGTCCTGGGATTCCTTATGCCTTAASAGAGACTTCTTTGTCTCTTGTAGGATATTCTGTCATTTAACAATGGATGAAGGGGTTAGCTCTTGAACTGAGTTGTTTGGGGTTTTTTTTTTTCCCAAGCTACTTTTGTAACTACTACAAACTCTCATGCCATTAATGGTTAAAATACTCTATAAAGTTGCTGGTTCTCTGTGCCCATTTTATACCCAGTTAGTGTTAAGTTTATTTTATAAGTTGATTTTTTCCTTAGCCTCGGTATTTATCCTCAGTGTGACTGTAATTTCAATGAGTTGCTCTAGCTGTTCTTTCTTTTCTTTTGGATTATACCTTTCATGTAGGACCCTTAAGTCATGTTTATTGGGACCTGTTGCTTCTGGATTGTAAAACTGCTCTGGACTTTCCCACATTGACTGAGATTTTCCTCTTGAAGCATTTTTTCTACTGTCTTTCATCTTTCATGGTATTTTCATAACTCTGCTTCAGTTCTTTTAATAATTGATCTCATACAGTTGTTACCWTGTTTCTTGAACTCTTTGTCTAGTAGAGAAATGTTTGCACCTTTGAGCTGTGCCTTTTTTTTTCATTCTGCTGTGAAGCTTCATAATGTTGTGATGGTTCTTGCTCAGGGCAACATATACRTACTATGGCAAAGGGCTTTGGTAGAGTCTGCCTGGAGAGGGTGATTTTCAGATTTCTGCTCCTGTTAGAAATTGGTGCTRTATCAGCAGCAGTTCTGACTGCTAGGTGAGTGGGATTGTGCAGTTCTAGTGATTTAAGTTTGTCATATGTTCATGTATTTGTCGTCTTTTTCTTAATGCAAATAATCATTCCAGATAAATAGGCAGGAGATAGGGACAATCTGCAACGATGGCTTATTTTCTTGAGTGCCCCAGTGGCAGCACCTCGCTGGGTTTAAGTGTGATATAACCTCAAAATAAGATGAACCATTCCTCCCTCAATCACAGGTTATATATTCAKCTTCACACCAGGTTATAGTCTGCATATGTCCATTTAGAAACACAGACTGATCGACCCTTCTGATCCCAGTGCTCAGGTAAGGGCTTCTRGGCTGAAAGACGTTTTGGATGATGTGCAGCCAAACTATTTAGCTAGACATCTCCTAATTTAGTGCTCATRCACTGCTCATCACAACTTCTGACATAGTTCCTACCACTTGTCTGTGGACAGTGGATGGAAAAACTCAATGCTGCATCTGGAAAAATAGTTGYATTGATATAGCTAGATTTTGTTATTTCCATTGAAACTCTGTGGCAGACAGAAAAGCCCAGAGTACTGCACAGATGTTCTCTAAACTGCYAACTAAAAGCCTTTTTCTGAACTAGGAATTGTAATTTTGTGGAAACAATGGGAGTGTGA